CCCTGAGCCCCATCAGCACCGCCATGCCCAGTAAACTGACCATAGACTCCCCATAATCTCCGCACGCCTGGCCGGCCTCGTGCTGTGGCACATGCATGCGCCGCCAGGCCGACACCATCCGCGAACTGCGGGCGCGGCTGGCAGCGCTCGAGGCCCCGGCCGGCGTGGCGCGGCGGCGCCGCATAAAGGAGCTTGAGGGCCAGGTGCGGACCAGGGGGCGCTCGCGAGCTGCGTGCTCTGGGCGTTGCCGGCAGCGTCGGCATGAAAGCTGGTGCTCCAATGCCGCCGCCGCGCCCGGGCGGCCACTGCTCTTCATTCAGTGGCCTTCAGGGTGCGCCCTGCCGGGCAGTTGCCCCTGCACACCATGCTTGACATCTCCTACAACCCCATCCTAGCCGGCACTGGCCCCCCACAATGACCCCTCTCTCCTATGTCCTGCCCTTGCAACAACAACCTCCGCCTCCTCACCCCTCCACACATCTGCAGGTGGAGTCACTCCAGCGGGCCCTCGCCTCCCGCCACCCAAACTCGCTGCCCGCCGTGCTGCAGGCCGCGCGGCCGCCCCCCGCCGAGGGCCGCCTTGTGGCGGCGCTGCAGGCGGAGGTGGAGGCCCTGCAGGAGCGCCTGGCTGGCGCGCAGCGGGGCCACGAGCACGCGCTCAGGGCGCTGCAGCAGCAGTATGAGCAGCTAAAGGCGCGCGCGGCGGGGGAGCGGGAGCGGGAGCGGCTGGAGGTGGGTGTGCTGCCTGTGTGTGATGAGGGAGTGGGGGAATGGCATCGAGCGGCAAGGCATCGGAGAGCGGGCCAGATGGGCTTCGTCCGGGTAGTCAGTGTCTGCTCACATGTTTCTTGATTGCAGCTGTGCATTGTCGGTACACTGGCAGGCTGCGGCCAGCACTGGTACAAATGGCTGGCCTTTGCGGCACGCCGCCACCTGTTGGGCTCGTTCGTAGCGCGCTGTTGCACACCGTTCGACCGCGCCGCGGCCAGCCGCTGTGCATTGCAAATCCTTGCCCCGCAGGCCTCGCGCCGCGGCGGCGCACGCTCGCAAGACCTGGAGAGGCGCCTGCAGGAGGCGCAGGAGCAGCACGCCCGCCGCGTCAGGACGCTCGAGGCGCGCGCCGCCGCCGCAGAGGCCGCGGCCTGGGGCCGGCAGGAGGCGACAGCAGGGGAGGATGGCGGCCGCGAAGGTGACCAGGCGGGGACGGACGAGCTAGTGGCGGAATTGCGGGGTGAGCTGGCGCTGCGGGACAAGCAGCTGGCGCAGTCGCAGCAGCGGCTGAAGGAATTGGAGCGTCAGGTGCGGCAGCTGCAGCGCCAGCAGCAGCAGGGGCAGCAGCAGGAGGAGCAGCAGCAGCAGCAGCAGCGGTCAGGACCTGCCCGAGTCCAGCAGAATGCGCCGGCGCCTCTGGTGGACGACACAGCACTGGTCGTGGCGCCTGCCTCAACTGCAGAGGGGCAGCAGCGGCCCGCCAACCCTGAGACGGCAATCAACCAGCAGCAGCAGCAGCAGCAGCAGCAGCAGCAGCAGTTGCGCTTGGAGCTGGCCGCGGCCCAGGGCGCCCTCGCGCTGCTGCAGCGCTCCCACTCGGAGCTGCTGCAGCGGGTGGTGGAGCTAGGGGCGGGCCAGCAGCGGGCGGTGGCGGAGGCCGGGCAGGAGGCTGCGGCGCGAGAGGCAGGGCGGTGGATGCAGCGGGCCGAGCAGCTTGAGCAGGTGCGTGGCTGCGGCCGGGTCAGGGCCCATCGTGCCGGGGCCTGCGGGATTGCCAGCGACAGCCGCGTTCCGCGTCGCCCCTCGCCCCCCTCCTTGCGTGCACTTATGCGTGCTGTGCCATGTCAGCTGCCCAGCAAGAGCTGCTTCGCTTCGCCCGCTGCGGGACGGCCGCCGTGCTTCATGCGAGCACGGCCGTCGAGCCCGCCCAACATGCCCACACTCCACCGGGCGGGCCCGCGCCCCGTGACCCCCTTGGCAGGCCCTGCGGGCGGCAGAGCGCGAGGTGGAGGGCCTGGAGGCCGCCCTCGCCACCGCGGAGCGCGCCGCGCCGCCGAGCCTGCGCGACTTCCTGTCGCTGGAGCGCCGCCTGGGCCGCATGGCGCAGGAGATGGCGGCCGGAGAGGCGCGCTGGCGGGACGCGCTAGGCGAGGCGCTGGGCGGGCGCCGCGCCGCGGGCGTCGACGCCGGGGCGGGGCTGCGGGACGCTGAGGCGCGGCACGCGGCTGAGCTGGCGGCGCGGGACGCGGTTATTGCGCGGCTGAGGCTGGAGGTGGACGAGCTGCTGGACGCGGCGCGCGCGCTGCAGCTGCGGGCGAGCTCGGCGGGGGCCTCACGAGCCTGAGTTGGTCAAGACTGGTCAAAGTGATTGGCGGCGGCAGGGGGCGCATGCGCCGTGCCGCCGACATTGGTTGTTAACATTTCTTTACTGCAATTGTGGCGGCGCTGCGCCTGCGCGACGTCCTAAAACTGTGCAAGTTGCCAGGCATTGATCGTCAACACTGCACAGACTACTTGGTTTTAGCATGAAAGCCAACGCACGAAGGCAGTTGCGGGTGACGTTGCAGTCCAACGCATTGAAATGGTGTAGCAACAGCAAAACGCATTGAGCCGCGCCGAGACACCCATAACTGTGTGATGCTGCCGATTTGCTGTGGATCACAGCAAGCGCTGGCAACTCCTCTGCGCTTGCGCGGCCACGCCGGCGGGTGCACTGGGCAGGCGCCGCGGCGCTACGTCTGGACGGGGGGCGCTGCGGCGCTACTTCTTGCCGGCGACAAGGCGCTGCAGCTCCCCCGCGCGCACGACGCAGTGGCGGCCGATGAGGTCCCCCTCAATTTCGACGCCCTCCTCCAGAAGCATCTGGCGCTTGAGCTTCACGTTGGCGGTCTCCGTGCCCTGCGCAGGGAGGGCGCAGGGGTGGGGGGGCGGCCGTCGCGGGGCGGTCGACGCGACGGAGAGGCGGCAGCCGGCGTGTTGCCAGGCGCGGCAGGTGTTTGCCCGCAGCAGGGCGGGATCATCGTCGCTATGCGCAAAGCACGTCTGCCTCCGTTGCTGCCCCACGGGAAGCCGCATAACGGCAGCACTGCAGGGCGCAAGGGATTGGGGAGGGGCAGCGCACCCATGAGCCCTTGAACCCGCCCAGCTTCAGGTCAGAGGCCACCACCCTGTGGCAGGGCACTTTGGGGGCGAATGGGTTGCGCCGCATCGCCTGGCCGACGGCGCGCGCGCACGACGGCGGCGACAGCGCCTTGGCCATGTCGCCATAAGTGGTGACGCGGCCCTTGGGGATTGCTGAGCACATCTGAGGGTTGCGGGTGGGAGGGGACAGCGAAAGCACCACAGATTAGCGAACAGACTGTCTACAGCATGCAAGGAGGCCGTAACTGTGGTGCACCGTTATGTACTTGGGGGAACAGCGTGGGTAGTGGGTACCCCGATGCATTAATCTGGCACTGACCCCAGCCCAGTCAATAATCGGCGGGGTGGTCACTCTGCATGCGGTAACTCTGCATGCGGCTCCCCAGAGCTGCAGCGAAGGCCTTCACAAGGCAACCCACTGTGTACACGCGCTCCTCGTAGGCAGTGGGCGGCCGGTCGATCGTCATGGCTGCGCTGCTGTTGCCGCCGTCGCCGCTGCTGATGATGATAATTACTTGCGCTGCCCTGCCGCTGCCTGCCGCGCAGATTCGTCCTCCAGCGCCTGATTCAGGTCGTTGGCGCCCACCTTCTGCACCACGTACCAATAGGTGCCAACTGAGATGCTGCCAAAGCCCAGTGCCCAGACCCAGTTTGGGATGCGCGTCGCGCGGCGAGTGGAGGCGACGACCCCGGGGTTCATAGCTGCGGCGGCAATGAGCGCGTGGAAGAGAACGACTGAAGCGCGATGTTTCGTTGCTGTTGCTTCTGCCTGGTCGTCCGTTTGATGCAGCGAACCTGGACGGATCACCGGCTGCACTGCGTGTGCGCTGCCAAGCTGGTGGGGCGAGCTAGTTTGAAAATCGGTACAAAATCAAAAATTTCATCACTGCTGCTTACCAGGGGCGTGTGCTAGCCAGAAGGCGAACAACTCGCGGGATACCGGCGAATAGAGACCTGCAGGGCATGCGAATGCCCGTGCCTCTATGATATGTGTAGCAAGACCAGTTGCAGCCAGATCTCAATAAGTGATGGGACTCTCTGGCGTTGAGAGCGGGATTTGTGCGGACGTGCTGCGCGTGCTCTGCTGTGCTGGGCGCAAGCGACGCTCTGTCGTCGCCTTGAGCGAGAGGTGACGCATAGTTGATGGCGCGGCATCAGTGACAAGACCAGCCGTCGACCGTGGCAAGATTGAATAGGTGGCGCTTGTGCTGTGGGCGGATGGGTGCTGAGTTGCACAGGTCATGCCAGCTCTGTCCGACATGCGCTGACGGTGCTTGCCAACCTGCCTCCCTCGCATGCGCGTGCATCATCAAGCAGCACTCACCTTCAGGGGTGCCCTGTGCGCTGGACTTGATGTGCCATCAACTCGCCTACATCACCCTGCGCCAACGGTGCTGATCGTGGTGTGGGGTGCGTGGGAAAAACGTACCCCCGAAACATGCTCGACAAGCCCGGGCTGGGCGGCCGCATACTGCATTACGCTCATCAGCTCAGGCCGGATGAGTCACCGGCCTCGCGGCCACGCTTGGCACGTTCTGTGTGCCGACGTCATATCACATACTGAAGTCCTGAATGGCTTGCCGCTGGTGAGTGGCCCCATGGCCGGGTCAGCAATCTCATGGGTCCCATGGACCCATGACATGCACGGCTGCTGCACGCAATCACTTGCTGAATGTCAGAAGCCTGCACGCAGCAGCCGCGCGCAGCACTCACGCGTCCCAGCGGCAAGCCGTGTTGGCAGCACAACCATGGCTCCATGACCCCGCAAGTGAGTAAGGCCCCAGTGCGGCGAATGCGCCTCGATCGCCGCAGGGCGGAGGGTGCAGCCCCCTGAGGCACCACAGCGCGCGCCGAATTTTCCCGTGGCTGTGTGCGCCACGCCTGTGCATGTGCCACCGACGGCTGCTGCAGTCGCCGCTCACACGTGACTGCCCCCGTGTCAGCCCTGAAGAAGTCAACATACACATGCATTTTTCCAACGAGGCGGGACACATGCATGAATTGCAAGGCTTGTGCCTACTGTGTGAGATTTGTGTGCCTTCAAGGCAAACTTTGCATATGCGGCGGCACTGGCACGCAGTACCCGTTGTCAACGCCTTCCGTGAGGAGTCCGTGCACCTCACGGTCGTGAACAACAACTTCAGCTGGAGTAACGAGACGGTGTACGTCATCGTAAGCAGCTGGGACTTGATATGAACGTTGATACATCCTGTCCTTGTGGTCTTCACGATTGTGGTTTACTGGGATTTGGAAAGATGAGGCTGGCGGTTCTCGTCCCTGTCACCTCTCGGGGCCTTGCTCCCCAGGGTGGTGGAGCAATTGGCGGTACCTGTCACATGGCCAGGAGCCTGCGTGAACTGGCAGCCAGCATGAAGGGAGAGAGCGCAGACCTGGTTGTGCTACTCGGGATTGACCACGATGACCCCTTGCTGCAGCACCAGCTGGCGCTCCGTGAGCCTTTCTGTGACCTTCTGCCTGCGACCAAAGTCCAGGTTGTGGTGTTTCCCGCAGGAATAGATACATAGATAGATAAGTTACTCATACCATAGCATCACTGCCATCGGCCTCGCGCTCATTAGAGCGGACCTCCTCATT